TGTGACCCAGAATTTTTGCTATGCTGTGGCATTCATAATCTTTTATCTATTTCTTTATGTGGTGCTTGGGGAGGCTGGAGAGATGCAGATTACAGGTTTCTGCAGGTGACTCTAGGCTACGGAGCAGTTGGGTAACTCATTCCAGACGCATCAGTCTCAAAGTCCTGGGGGTTTCCCATTGTGTTGTTTTGCCAGAGCTGTGCTCTTGGGACTGGGCTGGGCACAGGATCAGTGGAAATGTCTGAGCCTGTGTTACTCTCCTCACATCCCCAGGCCCAGCCGACCCACAGTCATTAGAGATTTCAGGGGAGAGGAGAGGTTGGCTTTGTGACCGTCTGTCCACACCTCCTTCCTGGCTTCTTATGATCTAGAAGGTATGATCTTCTTATGATCTATGGTACGAAAGTACCGTAGCTGGTATAGAGCTTTGCCCTTGTTTCTTCCAGCCAGAGGTACAGTACAAATAGGGAGCCCACACTCAGCCAGAGGTCTCTACACAGCCACAACTTGCTTCGTAGCCAGGCCTCTGACAAGGCTGACTACAGCCAGGAAGCAGCTTTGCTTGTGGGCTTTGAGACTTCACACACAACACTCAGGCATTTGTACCAGGTCCCAGTAATGGGAGTGACAGGTGTGTGCCCCTGCCTACCCGTCTGTAGGGCTCTTCCACAGGCTTGCTTCACCCACAACCGGAAGAGTTCCAGGATAGCTTCATCTTCTGTCTTGCTCCAGTCTCAGTCCCCAATTTTTTTTTCCACCTTCTTTGAGTCTTCCTCAAAAATTGCTCTGTGTGTGTCTGTCTGTACCGGGGAGGTGGCTGTAAACAAATCAGCTGACTGCTAACATTTTCACTCTGTTATCTGCTGGGGATTTAAGTTTCCTGGGCTCTCTCATCTGGTTCTGATGACCTCAGATAGCCTGCTTTCCAGGAACAGTTCCTAAGATGCCTGGATTGGGTCTCATCCTTTGGAGGCATGAAGGTGGGGCTCTCAGGCTGTCCTTGAGGAGAATTTAAGGCTTGGGTAGGGAGGTCTTCCTTTTGCTTTCTCCTCCTTCACTTTCTGAGCACCAGCCCTGTGGTGGTCACTGTCATGGGCCCTGGGGGTGGAGAATGGAATGACCAAGACATTGCTTTTGCCATGTTTTACAAGTCCAGGGACCAAGCAGGGGCAGTGGGAAAACTTTCATCACAGTCCAAACAGTGTGCTAGGAAGGGGGATGGAGCCACCCTCTATCCAGAAGAGGTTGTGCAGCAGTCCTACTGCCTCAGCCTCCCAACTGCTGGGATTACTGGAGTGTGCCACCATGCCTGGCACTCCATACATCTTCTGTGGCCGCATTTATGAGTGGTTTACTCAGTGATTGAAGTATTTCCTGTACAGCCAAAGACTGAACACCCAAATTTGGAGTTTAACGCTGGGGTGAGGTATGCTTCTCAACAGTGGTCCATCTCGAACATTCTTTTGTAAAGCAGATGCTGCTTGGGGGTTCCGACTCTGGTGTCATGGTGAGGCTGCCTCATTTGCAGCCTAGAGGCATGAGGTGCTGCATGCTGCACACAGTGTGACATACAGGATTATTCAGCGCACGTCAGAAAGGGGACCTGGCTTGGCCCTTCTGCTCTGATTGTGTGTGGTTGAGGCACAGAGCGTGGCACTTCCTCAGAAGCCCACACCTCTCAGGCTGCCAGTCAGCAGAGATGTTACATGTTGATTGCACACACTCACCCTCCCACGCCAAGGATTCTCTAGTGGCTTCACTTTTTTGTTTAAAAAGGGGAGGGGAAGCAAAGTAGTTCTGCCTTGTCTGCATCTTGGAGATCCCCTCAAGGGCAGATGTACCCCTAGCTCTCCTGAGCCTGATGACGATGGGGACGTGCAGGAGAGATGTCTTATATCACCTTTTCTGCCTGATTCTTCCTTCTGCACCCCAAGTCTAAGGAACTGAGGCAGCCACTGTAGCTGGCTTCACTACCTCTCACCTCCCTTCCCATGCTTCTGAATCCATCTTCCTCAGGCCCCACGGTGGTCCTTCAAAGCCTCGAAAAGTAGCTCTGCACTGACTGCCAGGCTCTTGAGCAGGCTACATGCAGGTGTCCTGGTGTGCCTTCTCTCCTCTACCACAGGGAGAGCCTTTCTGCCATGACAGGCTGTGGGACAGCTCCTTGCCAGTCCTGTGTGGGTGTGCTTTATTCCTCTGCTAGGTGCTTCTTGGTACCATCATGGGGTGGGGCAGCAGATAGTTGTTCTGCTGCTGTGAGCTCTGAGGCTCACAGCCTGTCTCACCATCCTGGTGCTATCTGGGTCCTTGCTCAGGGTCCTGCCCACAATGAAGAGTTTCTCACCAATGGAAAGAGGTGAGGGAAGGATGTGTTCTGGCTAAACCCACCTTCTTGAGGCTCCTTTGCTGCCCTTTTCTAAGACAGGATAAGCACCCTGTCCTCCACACTCAATACTCCTGCACCATCTTCCTCCTTCACCCTCCCTGAGATCCCTCAAGGTGTCTCCGTGGTAACTCACCTTTGCTAGTTAGCGGTCCAGAGGCACAAGCCCAGCCACATCTATGCCTTTTGCCCCTCAGTCAGGGTCCTTTTACATGATGATCTGTCATCAGGATGTGCTATGTGTTTCCTGTTGTGCTTTCAAATTGTTAGACTGGAAGGTTCCCATGGGCAAGAGGTATGTTTAGAGTCCAAGAAAATATGTAGCACTTAGGCTTTAAAAATCAGTGTTTCCTTTTCTATAAAATGGAATAACCACCCCATCCTGTTGTGCTGTTTCGAGGATTGAATGAGTTACTGTGAGTGAAGCTTAGTCCCTGAGACATACAGAGGCATATCCATTGACACTGGTCGATTATTCTGGTAGTGACTAAGCTGGGTGTCACTGCGTCTTTAAGAACTGCCAAGTGGGACTTCAGTGCCATTTTGACAGCTGTGATCAGAAGGGAGCAGAGCTATGACCCTGGGTAGCCTCTTCTGCTTCTATCCCCTGCTTCCTCCCCCAGGCCCTTCAGGCCCTCAACCTTCTGAGGAAGTAGCGGCAGTCATTCATCTATGACCAGACATGGAGGTGGACAGTGGGGAGACAGTTCTGACTGGACCAGTGTGAGTTGGGGAGAAGAGGGATGGAGAAAGATCAGAAAGGAGAGGGGCCAGATGGACAGCCCTAGGTGACCCTCCCTCTGTAACAGCATCTCTGCATGTGCAGTGCTCACCCTTGGTTGGACTGACCACACCCCTACTCACTCACTGCACATTCACAGCACCTCCGAAGGGCTCTTGAGCCCCACGCAGAGGAGAAGGCAGCAGCTAGAAAGAGCTGCAAGGGGAAGCTGGTCTACTGACCCCAGCCAGTGGGCAGTGGGTCTCTCCTCACATCCAGCTGTGCTGTAAGAATGTAAGTCCCCTGAAGCTGCCAGTGAGGTGATAAGGACGGAGGCACGTAGTTGTGCTGCCAGGTGCCAGCTGACCTCTGCCCCTTATCTGTAGATAGCACCCACAGAGCCACTGTGCCACGTGGGAGGGCAAAGTTGTGTCTGCAGTTCACACCAGGCTTTATTTTGGGGCTGTTCACCTGAGGTGAAAGAGGATCAGACGGCACACTTGGAAATTCCTCTGAAGACAACAAGCTGTGGTTACAGCCTTTAGGATGCAAGCCTGGAGGAGTCAGCAGTGTCCCCACAGAGGGTTGTCCTGGGGGTCCTCATGTCCCTCTGGCTGGAGTTAATGTCTCCTGTCTCCTCAGCCTCGCCATTTGTAGCGGTTCTGTGCTGCCCATCTGCTTGCCTTGGTGACCCATGCCTTCTGGTCTTTTCGACTGAAGAGTGGGTGGCTGACTGGCAGGGAGCAGCACATCTCATATCCGTTTCCACAGGGTGCTCAGCATATCGCACAGGTGTGCAACAAACGCTGAGAGTGGTCCAGGGCGGATGTGGCACACCCACTTTGGTAGGCAGGGATCCTGCTATCCAGCCAGCCCATCTAGTGCCACCTAAAGCTTCTGGGGTTATGAAGCCCAGTACAACTCGGTTCCTGCTGGAGGGTGCTGTCTGCACCCTTCTGCTGAACCACAGGGACGGTGGCAGAGAACAGCTAGGATCTGGACTCCCAAGTGCAGACTTCTGCCCAAGCCCAAGGAAGGCCAGCCTGGTGGCAGGGTTTCACAGGAGGATAAAGGGCGGCACTGGGTGTTCCCAGCTTGGGGCAAGCGCCCTCACCTACTGTTCCTCTGATAGCCAGCCCTCCCTCCAGGCACTCCTGGGCTCCGGGCGACACAGCCTGTGGCTCAGGGCACTGTTACATCCCGTCGCGCTTGGCATAGTCAGGCGATGGAGGAGCGTGGCCGGTCCCCTCTTCTGCCCCCTGGCCCCCGCAGTCTGCCGGAGCCCCAGCCAGCTTGCATCCCACACAGGCACGCGGAGCCGGGTCTCGCGCAGCTGCAGGAGCTTTGCGGAGCTACGTGTGCGTGCGCGCGCGCGGGGGGGCGGGGAACGGAGGGCGCGCGCGCCCAGCGGAGCCGAGTGCTTTCTCACCCGCGCGCTTCGGTTGCGGACCCCTTCACCCTCGCACGGTAGCTCGCCCCAGGTGCACGCGGCGTGGGGTGCGTGCGGTTGTGGCCGGGAGGCCGTGTGTCCCGGGCTGGACAGGCCCAGCCGAGGGGGCAGCGGGCCACACTTCCGTCCCTTTCCAGTCCTCCCAGACTTCTCCTCTGTTTCTTGGGTCGCCGGTACCTCTAGCCATCCTCCTCCTCTAGCCACTCTCTTCCTCGCGGGAGAGCAGCACCTTCCAACGAAGCCTGGGTCCCCCCAGCCCGGGCCCTGGAGTTTAGCGAGTGCTGGTGCACTGGTGTAGGCACACAGCCGAGCGTGCATCCTATTCGAGACTCTGTCATGGGGGGCGTTCTGCAGGGCCGCGCAGCCGCGTGCCCATTGGCCAAATGCAAACCAGGGGCGGGGCCGAGGCGGGGAAGGGGCTCCGGGGTTTCAGAGCCCGAGTCGGGAGAGGGTTCCGCAGGGAAAGCCAGGCGGTGCAGCTGCCGCGACCCCAGCCTGTGCCTGCCGCACGCCGCAGCCCTGCCCGCGGCAGCTCCGCAGAGTCGGAGCAGGGGAGGCGGGCGCTTGTGAGGCTCGGCTCACTGTGGGCTGGGCTGGGAGAGGTGTGTGTAGGGATCCTGGATCCCGGCGGCCTTTGGCCGGCGTGAGCGGCTGCCCTGTAAAGAGCGATCAGACAGCAGCCTCCCCAGACGCCCAGTCGCACTGCGAGCCGGTGCCCAGAGCGCTAGAGCGAAGAGCCGCGTGGTGGCGCAGAGCCGCGCGGGCCCGGCTGGCCGGGAGCGGGCCCCGTCCCGCAGCAGCTGGGCTCAGGCTCGGGCTCAGGCTCGGGCTCACGCTCGCTGCGAGTGCACCCGCCGGGGCCGAGGTCGCGTGCGGACGCCGCGCCTGCCCGTACCCGGGTGTCCCTTCTCCCCTACTCCGGGAGCGATGCCCCCCGCCCCCCGCATCCCCCGAGAACGACGCGAGCATGGAGAAGTCGAGTAGTGAGGACTCTTCGATCCACCGGAGTCCATCTTTGGACAGCAAGGACTCGGACTTCGCCAAGCCATCCACCTCTGGCCGCCCGTTCGGTCACGGCTTCACGGCCGGCGCCTTCTACGGCACCGCGGGCTCCCGGGGCCAGAGTCGCGCCGAGGCCGGCGTGAAAACCGACAAGTACAATGCACCTAAAGGCAGCAAGTACGTGGTGTTTTACCTGGACCTGTCCTTTGTGTTCCTCCTAGAATTTAAGAAGTGCAACATGGCCAGGGGCTGCCTCTGCTGCTTGAAGTACATGATGTTCCTCTTCAATTTAATATTCTGGGTGAGTCCTTGCGTCCGTTCCCCTCTACTCTCTTCTCCAGCGTAGTAGCCTGAATACCTGCTCCACTCAGCTCAGTCTTTATGCTGCATCGCTCTGGTAAGTGCTTTATTACACTAGTCCCCCACCCCCTTTAATGCATATCTGTCTTTCTCCCTTCCCTCGTGGCTGAATGGAGGCTCCAACTTGCCTGTCTTCCAGGAGAGTCTCGCCCTACTCCTGGGAGGGTGGCAAAGGTTGTCACCCTTTCCACCCCCATTTAGAAAACCCGTGTGGGAAGTGCCTCAGGCCCCCCACCACACCTGCAGCACTGGTAGGGTCAGGATTTGTAGCAGCTGTGACCCTGTGCTGGCCGAGGACATGCGCGAGGAGAGTGTTATGAGTTTCGTCCTGTATTGCTCTGAATGCACAGGAGTTCAATCTGCAGCGTTTAACGGGCTGGATGGCAGGAGTGTAGAGGTCTTACCCCTGTGTCTTTAGCGACTCCTGGGAGGGGGAGATACCCTTGTTCCAAGCTCAGCTGGGGCTGGTGTAAGGAGGGTGGGCTGGGGGCATGTTGCCATCGGGCGTCTGCTGCTGCTTTTGAAGGATTGTAGTGGACTGGGCAGGGAGCAGGCTGCCACATGCTCCCAGGCTCTGGGACCAGAAGGGACAAAGGGAGACAGCGGTGCTCTGTCCTTGGTGAGGTTGTTTTCTGGAGAAAGTGTCAGTAGATGGGGTGGCTTGGGATTGTTCTGTGCTCTCTGGAGGCTGCTGGAGGCTGTGTGTGCATAAGAAATAACAGGCAAATTTGGTGAAAACTTCTTGAATATGTCTCTGACTGTTTTTTTATCTTGACTGCTGCCTCTGCCTTCCTTTACTGGACCCCGGACACCACCAGCACAGATGTTTGGCTCAGTCCCAGGACTCATCCTGCCCGCTGGAGGCTGTCAGCCACAGCTTCCTGGGCACGGTCTAGGAAGAGCACGGGGGCAGGAGAGCCATTTCAAGTGGGGTTGGGTGGAAGCCGTTGAGCTGCGTTCAGCCTCTGTGTGGGTGACTGCAGTTGAAGAACTTTGTGTGGTGTGTGCGAAGGGAGAGCGCCCTGCCGCTAAGGGAGAGGACAGGCTTCTGGTCTTGCTCTGCATCGGCTTCGGTGAGATCTTGGCTGCTCAATGTGTACCTTACAGTCTGGGCTCCCTGTCCCGTGCCAGGAGGGCCACGTGACGTCTCTTCACTGTCCCCTTAGGCTCCCGTGTAATATCTTGGCCGGGGCAGCGAGGTACCTGAGTGCACTTCCTTTTCCAAAATGGTCTGAGATTCCTTGGGTTGGGCTTCCCCTATAGGCTGGAACCTTCCACCACTGCAGTTAGAATTTTCCTGTCATGTGGCTAGGGTTCTTTGGAAGGTGAGGCAGATATTCTGATTTCTTTTCCTGGTGGCAAAAACCTTTGAATGTCAAGGAGGACTCTGTAGCTGTGGTGTGGTAAGTGCCTCCTGATCCCTTGCCTTCTGTGCCAGCGTCACATTTCCAGTGCCTTTGGTCTGCGTGAATGCCGTTATTTGTGTTGCTCACTGCTTCTTTCTCTGACCTTTTTCATGGTCTCAGCCTGCTCATTTCTTTAGTTCCAGATTGTGTTGTATATGAACACTTATATTAAGAGAGTTGAGGGATGCTCAGTGCCTTTGGCCGTAGCTCCCACTCAGCTGCGTTTGCTTCTCCCCCACCCCACTCTGCCACCTGCTGGCTGAAGTTGGTATAACTGCTTGTGGTGACTTCAGGAAGGTTCCAACTTGGTTTGGGGACCTCCTGAAATAGTGTCTGTGCCCTGCACAGAGCAGGCGCTCATGACATGTTTGTGAGTGAATGAATAGATGGCCAGAGCTGTGAGTCACAGCGTATGATTATGTGGTAGGGATACCCAAGTCTCATTTGATAGGGACAAGAAGTTACATATCAAACTTGACTGTATAAGCTCTCCTAGATCTTAGGTAGGACAAGTGACAAGTGACTCTCTTCCCTTAAGAGAGTGGCAGCAGTTAATGAACTAGCTGATGAAATGTCCTTCCTTTATGGTCTATAGTGAGAAAACTTGCTGTCTTGTCCCAGCTAGTATTGACAGTGCTCTTGTAAGACAAGGAGTTGCACCTTCCAGGTCCCTGACTTTTTAATTACTTTATATTTTCATAATTCCCATGGCAAGCTATGAGCCAGGAGAAATCAAGACCCAATTCTTTTATGCTAGTAGCATGTGAGATAGTAAAATAAGACATAGACCTTGGGAAAGATGGGAGATTTAGCAGAGAAGAAATGGGCGCTTATGTATGTGTTTGTGGGGAGCTTGAGGATGGTATGTCAGTGTGTTTCACACAGGTGAAGACTTCCTGCAGGCAGGAGCTCCTCAGCCTGTTGTGGGGAAGGGACGGAGAAGGGGCTGATTGAGAGGGGAAGGGCTGTGGAGGTGTGACTGCAGCAAGGCCCCCATAGGCCTCTGCTGTTGCCCTGGGCTCACTTAAATGGTGGGTAGGGTGGGATGGGAGAGTGAGGGAAAGGCTCAGGAGAAGGTGAGGGAGAGGGTAGGACCCCAGGAGAGGGAGAGGGACAAACCCAGGAGCAATTGTTAGAAGTTACGTAGCCATCACTTGTTTTAGTCTTGTGGCTCAGATCCCAAAAAGAGGCTTTTCTGAGGCATTACAGTTGGCCTCGAGACCTGCAGTCAATAGACAGAGTTCTTTCCATAGATCCAGAGCCTACCTGGTAGTTCTCCGAACCTCCCACTGCCGCCACACCCTCTGCCTCTTACAAGCCCTTCCAGAGGATCCCTGGCCTGGAAGAGAGGTGCATCAGATTGCAGTCCCTCACAGGCCTGCTGAGTACCTGCTTCCTGGCCACTGGGTGGAGCTTTGAGGGTGTTGGTATTGGTGAGAGCCTGGTGACATCACCAGGAGGCAGGATGGGAGGTGGAGCTGTGCAGCCAGCACTCCTCCTTACTAAGAAAAGGGCAGGTGCCTCCCAGGCTGCTGGGTGCCTGCCTGCTGGTGGTGGTCCAGGTCTACTGCTGGAACGTTGACTGCAGATACTGCTAGCCACATTGGCAGCCCAGTGCACTATGGGGGCTTGGGGCACCTAGGAGGGCAGCATTTCTGGGAGCCTGATACAGCTGGAGCCGGTGGTCACTCCTGACCAAGTCTCTTCCTCTTTGTTCCCTGAATCCCCACCTCGATTCTTAGGGCCAAAGAGAATGCTAGCTTCTTGGTTAATGGGCTAGGCCTCAACTGGGACAGGACATTCCCCATACTGTTCACCACTAATGAAATCCATCCCAAAGTATTTCTTCCAGCAGAGGAAGCCATTTGAGGCATTTTCCTCAGTTACCCCATCTCTGGATCCTCCCGCAGCAGTCTGGTACAACACTCAAGGTAGAGATGAAGTGAATCTAAACTTCTGTGGAGTGTGGAGGAGGCTCAGAGCCTTTGACTGTAAGGAAAGGGAGGGAGAGCATATGAGGAGGGCTGCAAAGGGGACTTCTAAGTGCAGGGGCCCATGTCCTCGTTGTGGATGGCAAATCACAATCTACCCTAGTTCCTCCAAACCTCAAGTCAAGTTTCTGTGTGATACAGAGGGGCAGGGACTGGTTGCTGCCATAATTGCCACTTGGAATAATGATCACTTTTCACACTGGCCATCAGGGCTGTTCCATCACTTTAAATCATAGTTGGCAGAGTGGTGACATTCTGGCCCCACTAGAAAGTCTATTCCTTGTGGATTGCTCCCATAATAAAGGTCAGTTAGCCGAGGAGGTAGTGTTCAGTGAGCCTGTTGGAACGTAGGAAGGGTTGGCATGGGGCAGCCACAGGCAGAGAGCTGAGCGGATCTTCATTAACTTCCGTAAGTGGGGTCAGGCCCTTCAGGCTGCCCCTGCCTCTGTGTGCAAGGCGGTTGTGTTGGTGGTGTGTGTTCCTTAACTGGTCTGGCTCTGGGCTCTGGGCTGGGGTCTGTGCAGCTTGAGCACCATGGGGATGTCTGTAGGGTGCTTTCTTTTGATGAATAGGGTAGAGGGGTCTCAGCTGGGAGCTCAGGTTCAGACATAGTCCCTCTGAGAAGAGGGGATACAGGCTGGACCAGGCCCAAGAAGCACTTGGGGCTTCCCAGAGTCTCAGGGTGAGGGATGCAGGCTGGCTCCCCACAGGGATGCTACAGACCAATCTCCTGGGTGAGTCAGGCCTGACTCTGCTTGGAGGCAGGGGGACAGGATGAAGGGCTGGGTAGATACCCCGAGAGACTCCTGGAATGTGGCCGAGAAAGAATGCCAGATGTATGTTTGCTTCCTTTCTAAAGCATTAAAAATTAAACTTCCTTGTCTTAATGTCTATTTTTAAATCGTGTCAGAGCCAGCATTGGTGTCAGTCAAGAGGGAGTGGGGAAGAGGGGGTGGGGGAAAGGCAGCCCCGGCTGAAACAGCGTAAGGGCTCTCCACCTTGAGGAGAGGGCCCTGGGCCTGCCTGGCCTGCCTGCAAGAACACAGCGAACAGCAGCCGGCCTCTTCGCACTCTGTGTGCCTGGCTGCCCTTGGCTGAACTTGATGGCAGGCCCAGTGGCCCTCGGCCTTCTGTGGCTTGCTAGGGTGTGGGGGCCCCAATCGAGTCCATTCACTCACGCCACAACTATTTGCTGAATGCCCGCTGCGTGCACCAGAGCCTCCAGTTGGTAAGGACAGGGCTCGACTGGGCTGCACAACCGTATCAGTTTTCCCCAGCCAGGAAGTCGTGGAATTGGGAGGTCATCTGGCCTGCCCTGTGCCCAGCACTTGAACACAGGCCTGAGAGCCTCTTCCTTCTTCCCCAGCATTCTAGGACCTGGCATCCAAGCAGCCTGTTCTGACTTGTTCTCTCCTCACCTGCTTTCTGAAATGTTTGCTGATATCAGAAAGAAGTGGAGAAATGGAGGAAAAAAGAGCCTCAGGGTTTTTCTTCTTTTTCGTTTGGAAAAAATCAGTGACTATATGATTTTTCTGTTTTTCTCC